TTGAGGAGAAACTCTCAAATAAAATAATGATATGAATAATCCAAAATGATTCTAGTGAAGGTTTCTGGAGTTTAAAAACACCTAGGAGCGTGTTTTCTGTTTTAGAGAAGAACTACGCAGGAAATATGCAGGGTTTGTGTGTTAAACGTGTGAATAAAACAAAACAAAACACAACTCCAGGTCTGTTTGTGATGAGAAAACAACTTTAACTACACTTATCATCACTTACAGACTCATATACTGGTTAGCTGGATTTGATATTTTACTATACTTTTTAGCATTTGGGCTTTTGGCCTTTAAGTTTGACTGGTGACTGTAGCTTTATTTATACACTTTAGTGCTGCATTAGCCTCAGTCCGTAAGAAGGAGGCTCCATACATTTTCCTGTATTTCCTACATGAAATGATGGGTCAAATACAATTTAGTAGCTTGAACTTAAATATAACCAGACTAAACATGTCTTGCTTAAACAAATTTGATGACTGTGAACAGGCTTGCGTACCTGCTTGATTAGATAAACATATATAAACACTAGGGATGTAACAATATCCAAATCTCTTTATTGTGATATTCTGGATATAATTGTATATAGGACACTTTTTTTTCCTTTTAAAACACCTTGACAAGATTTAGTTGTGAATTATTTCCACTATAATCCAAAGAATTCAAGTAAAAAACATATTTCTTCATGTTTTCCGCACTGACATTCATTTAAACAAAGGAACTTGTGATTCGATATATTGTGACACCCCCACGATATTATCTTGAGACGTTTGATGATACGATATCACGATATTTCTGTTACTGTTACATCCCTAATAAACACACATTTTTATCCTTTGTGGGAACATACATGCATCATGATTTCAGGACGCCATGTTTGTTTTCCCAGTGGGATGCGTCTATTGTGAAAGTCGATCTTTTCAAGTCTTTTAAACCATGACACTTTTGTTTCTGGTTCTGATATTGTCATATTTTAGTTATGGGATTCAGACATTGTAATTGTGTGGTTGCTGAATGTCCCGTTTGTTAAGCGAGAGGTGCAGAAGACAAACAGGCCGAGCTCGCACTTTCTTGTTCGACTGACTTTACAGCAACATCACGTCTTGGTTGTTTTGCAGTGGAAGGTGTTTCTTGGCAAACAGCTGGTGCCTTTCGCTTTGGTGTTGACTTTTTAAATTCGTAACCAACGTTGACCAATCGATTGGGATTTATAGAGTTCGCAAACTTCTGAAGCCCATTTGTCTAGCTGTTTTCCGCTGTTAGAACATCCAACAACCACACAATTACGATGTCCGAATCCCAAAACTAAAATATGACAATATCAGAACCAGAAACAAAAGCGATATGGTTCAAAAAACTTGAAAAGTTCGACTTTGACAATAGACGCGTCCCACTGGGAAATCAAACACGGCGATTTGATACTCACTTTTTCGGACAATTCTTTCCAGTATGCATTTTGCGATGACTGGAAGTCCAAAATTCAGGATGCATATATGATGTAGATTGACTTATATTAATTTCCTAGAGACTGATCTTGACCTCAGCCATAATTATACTTGCCCGACCTTAACCTATAGCCTGTCTTCACCGTAAAAATGATTGATCTGCTATTGGACAAATTACCTCATGCGGACCTGGTTTTGAAGTGACTCAGTACTGACTTCAACCCGCATGATGATGTGATGAATACTCGCCCACGCGCACACACACACACACACACACACACACACACTGACACAAACACACACACACACGTCCCAAGAATAAATAGAGGAGGAAGGTGAAGGGGAGAAGAGATATTAAGATTGAGAGAGTACGGGACAGGAAGTGCTAGTGAGACAGAGGAAGGATCTAGGACATGGGACAGATGGGAATACACACACACACACACACACACATACACACACACACACATACACACATACACACACACACACACACACACACATACATGAAGACGAATGATAAAAGTGCGTGTGCTTGACTTTAGTGACAATGACAAGTGGGTGCCATTCTGTTTATTGATTTTCTGTATTTTTAGTCATGATCGCTTTTGTGTGTTTGTGTGTGTGTTTGTGTGAAGGTACACTACCTAAAACTACTCCTGTGTTTCATATATCAAAGCATTTTATTGTCCCATAAAGTTTTTATTGAATAAACAGGCAGAATTCGATTGTTAATGTGCTGATTTAAGCTGATTTAGTGAGAATGAGTTTTAACATAATACACTGGACTTTTATTGGACACGTATTATGGATTGTTTGTGTTGTTATTGGCCTTTAAATCTGCTCTAGAGTACATTTGTTTCGGCATTTCATCTGTTAGTTCTTGAAATTAATGCTTATGTATAGAAAATATCACTTCTGGGATTTGGTATTAGGACTCCATCTTGTGGCAGCAGTGAATTGAGTTTGAAAAACAAAACAATCAGAGCTACAACAGAACGCTAATATAAGCATACTAATGTAATGATCACGATTTGATGACGGAAATGCTCAGGATTAGTTTGGTGTTCATTTATGGGCCGCTTTCTGATCTGGTTCGTGGAAACTGCAGGAGTTCTGCCTGTGAAGAAACAATCCAGGGACATTTTAAAAAGTAATTTCTGAGGTTTTGAGCAAGGCTAGATTAATGAAACGAAACAAATTAATGAAATGAAAGTATAAACAAAGCTAAATACTACCTCAGGTGTATTTTAGATGAGAAAACATTGTTATGACATGATTCAAATGTGTTGTGTGTAGGGGTGTAATGTAGAGGTCTGGGACAGAATTTTGAGTCCCACTCCTGCTCGCTCCCGCACTGTAGAGAGTCCCGCTCCCCGCCCGCATCTGCAATATTTTGTCCCCCGCCTGCCTGCAAGTCCCGCAGGATGGGAACCTTTGCTTTCTTAAATTTCTATCAAACACGGTGAAGCAAAAGAAATTGGGCTGCGTATGAGAGGAGGCGCGGTGGGCGATCCGGCGGCGTGGTTAAGTCCTGGCTAAATCCTGTTTTAGTCCTGGTTTTAGAGCTGTTTTTAGACCTGGTTTAGTCCTGGTTTAGTTCTGGTTTTGTTGCGCAGGCAGCACGACATACGGAAGGAGGGACTGTTCGCGCGTTCACCTGTTGGTCACTAGACTGACTCCCGTAAGCATAGGCCACTCTCCATCTTTCCAAGAACCATAACATCCTAAAGAGTCTCATTTTAGGTTAAACTGATCTATAATAATCTGTCATTCATTTGTTGGTCCTGCTGATGTTTGCTGTTCTGCCGTCTGATTGGTTACTCAAACCTGTCAGTCATTTGGTCATTACAATTGCTTTTTATTGCAAAAACTAACAATATTTAGGTCCGCAGCTATAGTCTTGTTTGCATGGGTCACTTGGTTGACTTCGACTAAAGTTGTACTAATTTTCTTGGAAGCAAAAACATCAGTTTCATACTTGTAAAACAAAATCACATCCTTTTTATTGATCTAATTTGCGTCAGGTTGCAGATAAATGAACTCTGTTTTGTTTAAAAGTTCCTGGGGGAGGACTCACAAGACCCCCCGGTTTCAAAATGACGATACAAAAATCTAGGGGCACTTAAATGATGGAGTAATGACTACAAAAGTACCAATTTTCTTTCTTTTTTTTTTTGTGAGTGAGTGCAGGAGAAACCTTCAGAAATCTTCGGCATTAAGGGCTCTATATTACACTGTTTTCTGATCTATGTTATAATGTTGTTTTCTTATCAGACAGACCTGCAGTTGAACTTTGTTTCATTCACACATCGTTAGCAGACAAACCCTGCATATTTAGGCGTTCTTCTCTGAAACGGAAAACACTGTTCCACTTTGTGATGTCATGTGGCAATACAGGAAGTTCTCCACTCCATACACCAGGGATCCAAACTTTTCTCTCTCGGGGCCACATTATCGCTCCTGACTGTGATGGGGGCAGGAATTGTACGACCCTCAAGACACAGATTATATTCTTTGAAAAACTCCACACTTTTTTTACATATCAGACAAACTGCACGGTCCTTAGGCTGAACAAAAAAATAATCGGTCGTCCACTGTTCTTTAAAAACTGTGCACTCTCTGTCAACTTTTCGTACTTTAACACTCGCCATTTTGCTGTCTTTAACTGCGCTACAGAACTCTGCTCGTGCATCGACTGTCACTGTTTGATCTCGAGCTTGTCAGGTGACGAAAATTCGGCGGCAAATGTAAATACGTCATATAATTATTTAAATAAAAATATAAATACTTCATACAAATATCATTTTTTAATTGAAAAAATCAACAAAATACAAGATGCAGATGTGTTATTATTTGCCAAAAAGTAATTCCAGCCAGTTCAGGTAGCGGGCGGCAGAGGGGCTGTGGGGCCGCTCAAAGGGGCATGAAGGGCCAGAGTCGGTCCACAGGCCTTACTTTGATGACCCCTACCATACACCTTCACTAGAATCATTTGCATAATTTCAGCCCTGACAATGCCAAGCTGTACTGAACAAAAATAAATAAAGATAAAAGATAAAGATTAAAGATAAAAGGAGCTACTAACTTGAAAACTACTACTACATGACATCACAAGGTGGAACAGAGCATTTTGAGCTGTGGAGATGTACAGACTAATAATAAAGTGTTACTCTGAATGAAACAAAACATAACTTCAGGTCTGTTTTTGATGATTTAACAGCATTATAACATGACTTGAAGCTCACACGGGTCAATTTTGCATAATACATGATCATATTTTTGGTACGTACTGTGTGTTTTTACTTACTCGATTTATCTGAAAGCTCTAAACTCAATTTTAAAGAAACGCAGCAGCAATCTGTCAGAAATGTTAACTGTTTGAAAGGGTCCATGTACGGTTCACCATCTCCATGACTCACAGCTTAAGCCTCGGTTCTCTCATGTCACTGTGGTCTATACTAACCTCAGAGCTGCTGTGTGTGTGTGTGTGTGTGTGTGTGTGTGTGTGCGCTCTGTTCAATGTGAGTCTGAGCATCCTCTTTATTCCAGGTAAGAATCACCGCTTTAAGTCTCTGCGCGGCGCCGTCAAGAAAAACGCCGCCATTCTTCGTAAGGCGTGTGCGTCTGTCTGCATGGTCCATCGATATCACACAAATGCCACCAGCGGATTGCATCTACCCCCTTTTTGATTTGACTTTTTTATAATGTAGTTTAGCTCTTCTAGTTGTTTAATTTTTTTTCCCCCCCGTTCTTCCTTCCTCCCCTTGCATTGGATTACGCATCTTTCTCTGACCACTCCAGCGCAGTGGTTTGTCCTGCTCTAAAGTCCAGAAAGTTACTCTCATTGTCTCCTTCAAGTTATTTAAAAAAACATATGGGTTACAATTATAATAACAACACCTAATCAGCCTTATTAAAGTGTGATAAAGACCAAGTTTGTAATGAATAAATAGTTTATAAAGAACGATTCAGCCTTAACTACTTAAAGAGCCCATATTACGCTATTTTTGATCTATGTTATAATGTTGTATAAAGTTGTGTTTTGTTTCATTCACACATGTTTAAAGTCCTGCATCTTTAGGCAGAGTTCTTTTCTCAAACATTCTGCTCCACCTTGTGATGTCATGTGGTAATACAGCCTGTGCTCCACTGTGTTTTTAAACTCCACACACCTTCACTAGAATCGTTTAGATGATTTCAGACCTGGAATTGCTTTTTTCCACTGAACTAAAGGTAAAATGTAGCTGTTAACTTGAAACCAACCATTACATGACATCACAAGGTGGGACAGAGCATTTTGAGCTTCAGAGATAATAATAAAGGATTACTCAAACATGTGTGACTGAAACAAAGCACAACTGTAGGTCTGTTTTAGAGCAGCGGATTTCAAAAGGTGAGGCCCGCCTCCCCTGGGGAGGCGCAACACACTAAACCAGGACTGATCCAAGGATTGAACCAGGACTAAACCAGGACTGAACTAGGACTGAGGGTCGGAACGGGCCTAAAGGTGCGTCCGTGTAGACTGTCGGATGACCGCAGGCAAAAGGACCCCTGTCCTGGTTTAGACCTGGTTCATTTCTGGTTTAGACCTGGTTTAGACCTGGTTTAGTCCTGGTTTAGTCATGGTGTCCTACTGATGTTCAGCGATGTTAAAAGTCACCTCAATTAGGCCTGTATGAAGTTATTATTTGCTATTTGTTGTTGCAAAAATCGCTTATGAATGCATTTAAAAATATATAAAAATCTGTTATCTTTTGTTATGGAAACTCATCATTGCCAGAACACAAAAGATGCATTTACTTCAAAAGTCTGTGTGAGTGAGGGCAGGCAGAGGGGATTTCAGGGAAGTGTGGGCTCGACTGTCTTTACTGACTCTAAGGGGATGCTCACATTCACCCAATTTGAAAACCCCTGTTTTGGACGAGATAACATGCTCACAATTTAGTAAATTTTGCGTAATATCGGACCTTTAACCCTAAATCTTAACCCTCACCCCTTAATTAAGCACTAAACAATTTCTAGACTATTTATTCATTATGAAGTCAGTCTTTCTTCATACTTTATTACGGCTAATTAAAATGTAGTTATAATAAAATGTAACCCTCATATGTACGTTGCTGCAGTGTTAAAGCAGCACATCTGTAATAACTAGAGACACATTTCTATTAAGACAGTATGAAACATCTGTCTGTAACGTCTCTTTGCCCTTTAACCTGCAGCACAGATTCTCATGGTCCAGTATGTCCTTCTGTAAATGCTTTAAACTTCTGCACTGACAGAAAGACGAAAAGAAACTGCACAAGGAGACAACGAGATGATTTGATATTACGCTCCCGGTTCCTTTAGTAGGTCTTTAGAAAATGAATGCCCTTGCCTGACCTTATATAGACAACAATAACAAGACAGTGGCACCGCACAATGCATTACTTCTTCAGCATTACCTGCATTAAAATAGAAATATATGTTTAAAATGTGGTGGCTCTGTTCTCTTATTGTTTTCTATTTGGACTCCCTTTACCTGCAAATCACTGGAATTGCTGCTTTGTATTTTATAGTCTAGAATAAAAGTTAACTACAATATTTCAGTTTGACTTTTCAGTATCTGAGACTGGTTTGCTGTTTGTGAATATGTTGATGTAAATTGCATATTATCAGATACAAATAATGCATTTTATGATTTATTTTGTAAGTGAGATTGAGTTAAAGGTGCATTGTGTAAATTTTCTCATGGAAGGTCTGTTTTTTTCTGTTTTTGTTTCTATGGATGTGTCATTACTCTGCCTGGAATGTTCCGCAGTATGACGTTAAACAGATCTACCTTACTTTATTCAGTACATGCCTCACGAATTTCGGACTTCCGGTTATTGAGCAATGCATACTGGGAAGGATTTTCCAAAAAAGTGTGTATCAAACCGCCATGTTTGTTTTTCTAGAGGGACGCGTCTATTGGGATTCCAGTCTGTTCGAGTCTTTTGAACCATATTGTTTTTGTTTCTGGTTCTGATATTGTCATATTTTAGTTTTGGGATTCGGACATCGTAATTGTGTGGTTGTTGGATGTCCAAACAGCGGAAAACGACTCGAGAAATGGGCTTCGGAAGTTTGCGAACTCCATAAATGCAAAAGGGAATCAGATTTGTGTGACTGCAAACCTGTTGTTGTCGCTCCACATACAAAATGTTCGCTGCAAACTCTGGATGATTTCTTAGGCCGTCAAAGTTTTCCTTTTTGGTCCTTCCTGTGGATCAATCCTGCCCATCGCCTTCACCTTTCACTATTTTTCAATTCTGTTGGGAAGGGAAACATTTTGAACGAAGGTTTACAGCCACGCAGATCTGATTCCCTTTTGCATTTATGGAGTTTGCAAATATCCAAAGCCCATTTCTTGAGCCATTTTCCACTGTTAAAATCCAACAACCACACAATTATGATGTTTGAATCCCAAAACTAAAATATGACAATATCAGAACCAGAAACAAAAGTGATATGGTTCAAAAGACTCGAAAAGACTGGAATCCCAATAGACGCATCCCACTGGGAAAACAAACATGGCGGTTTGATGCTCGTTTTTTCGGAAAATCCTTCCCAGTATGCATTGCGGAATAACCGGAAGTCTGAAATTCGTGATACATGTATTACAGGTGGTTTTACAGCCAAAGATGTTCATTTTGTCTTCTTATGTACTTTAACTTCTTGGGTTCTTTTTAAAGACAATACGGTAAAGTGGATTTTCCTTGTTGACATGTTTCCGCTGCTGCGTCTTCTGAAGTGTCCCCGGTGTTGGTGGTGACGAGTCGTATATCAGCTTTTGTTACTTCCTGTAGGCGTGGTCAGGCCTGATGGACCTGGCACCCATCACCCCGGTGTTCTCTGGAGGAGGGTGTCCCGGGTGTGTGAAAGGAAGAACGCTCCATCACCTCGTTTCCTGATTTCACTGTCCTCCCTGATCCAGCATTTGAACTTGCTGTTTTCCGGTCTACTGTAAAAGAAATAACCACATTCTGGACTGGGAAGGGTCTCTCTTGGGTCACTGGATCGGAAAACAGCAAGTTCAAACGCTGGATCAGGGAGGACAGTGAAATCAGGAAACAAAGCACAGACAGCATTAACTGTGACGATGGAGCGTTCCACCTTTCACACACCTGGGACACCCTCCTCCAGAGAACACCGGGCGACGGGAGGCGTGGTCAGTCTGAGCGAACTGCCAGGTCCATCAGTTCAATTCAATTTCAATTTATTTATTTATATGGCACATTTAAAACAACTTCAGCTGACCAAAGTGCTTCACATACAAGTCAACAAAATAGAAGAAACAGTTACAAATACATATATACAGATAACATGTGAAAACTACAATAAAAACACCAAGATAAACTAACTAGCTCGTACTAAATGCCAGGGAGAAGAGGTGAGTTTTCAGTTTAGTCTTAAACTGCGTTACAGACTGAGAGGATCTGACAGAAAGAGGAAGGTTGTTCCACAGAAAAAGCTCTGTCACCTCTCGTCTTGAGCCTAGTTTTGGGCACGACCAACAGGAGCTGGTCTCAGGGCTCTGGGCGGAGTACAGGGCTGCAGTAACTCCCTCAAATAGACTGGACCCATAGAGTGCAAACATTTGAAAACAATTAATAACATTTTAAATTGCACCCGATATGAGACAGGGAGCCAGTGCAGGTCACACAGAAAATCAGGCTGACCACGCCTACAAGAAGTGACAACAGCTGAAATACGACACCAACACCGGGGAAACTTCTGAAGATGCAGCAGCAGCCGAAACTTGTCAACAAGATAAATACACTTTACTAGAGCTGGATATCATTAAGAAGTTAAGTATTTCACATATTGATCTTTCGATTCAGTACGATATATTTCAAATCGATTTGATACGTTTCCATAAAATAATGGCTAAATCATGGCTGTGATACTAAAAGTCTTTGTTAAACCCACTTCTTGGGTAAAATTAAAATGAAACACAAACATTTTAATCATCAAAACTGTGAAAATGTCAAATGTGTCACATAAAAGAGTTTCCTTCCGTTAAACAAGCAGCAAAACTGTAGCTCTGTAACAGAATAATTAAGTAAAATTAACCAAAAAATGCTCTTGGTGCTATATCAATACAGCAGCCCACGATATCGATACTGTATTATCACATTAAACGATACGATATATTGATATTTTGATATTTTACTTTACTGTATTGTCTTTAAAAAGAACCCAAGAAGTTAAAGGTGGTTTTATAGCTCAAAAATACCTTGAAAAACAACATTCTGACTGTGAGCGGGGTCGCCTCTCCGCAGATCTGACCTGTAACATGGTCTGGTTTGGTTTGATAGAAAGGTTTACTGTGAAACATTCCAGACAAAGCAATAACATCTCCGTGGAGAAAAGCATTTGACGAACCCTCCACCAGAAAAGTGACACAATGCAGCTTTAACATCCTGAACCGATGCTACTGCAAATGTTACTTTTTCCAAACTTTTACACATTGAAAATCTTATCAAATCTGGTGTTTTTAGATTTTTTTTTTCCTTTTTAATGATTATCTCTGTCTCGAATCTCCCTGTGTCTCTCCTCCTCTTTGTGTTGCAGGTCTTTGGGGTTTTCTCTATAATTAGGCGTTAAACTAGTTCAGACGTCCATTGAGAAGCAGTGGGTTAGTGGTGGTGTCCTCTGTCTCGGGAGGAAGACGGGCTAACCTCAAGAAGGGGCCATGTTCACAGTCATCAGTGTAGTTTAGACTCTTTTTAGACTATTCTGAAGATTTATTTTGTGTTTACCAAAACCCTCAGGTTGGTGTTTGTAAGCAAAAACACCTGCCTGTAATGACAGTGATGTGTGATGCTACATAGTACTTGAAAGTGTAATGGCCACTGGAGACAGGACACACTCAGATTTTGACTATTCTTGATCAGAAAGCTGCAAATGTAACTAGTTTGCACTAAAATGGCCAAACAATGACTAGAAACTGCAGATAATTGTATTAAAAGACCACAGACAGTTTAGCAGCAAAAAATAAATAAATAATAATAATAGTAATAATAATCGATTTAGTGTTTAGTTACACTTTAATTGAAAACTTATGGAGTGTCTGCCACCTGCTTGTGTCCATGGAAATTGTATTACTTTGTCTAGAACAGACATGTCAGACTCGGGCCCAGGGGCCAAATTTGGCCCGTGAAATAATTATATTTGGCCCGTGAGATCATATCAAATATGTATTAGAGCTGCCCGCTGGATACAGATAGACTATAGAGACATTATTTATTTAAATTGTTGTTATTATTTTATATTTTGCTTGTTCTGGATTCAATGTTTAAGCAAAACTGTTATTAAACATTTATTTTAATAAGAAAAGGTTTAATATTACATATCTCAAAAGAAGAGAAAACATGCAGATGTTGTTGAAATTTTTTGATAAATATTTAGTTTGGCCCACGACTTAATCTCAGTTTTCATTTTGGCCCTCTGTGAATTTGAGTTTGACACCCCTGGTCTAGAATGTTCCACAGTATAGATCAAACCACCTGTCATGAGTGAGACAAGCAGGTTACAGCTCCACACTACATTACAGATTATTTTATTATATAGCAGATTATTCACAGAAGAAATTATTGTGTTTTTGAGCAATAGAAATGGCTGCCTAGGGCCCCCAAACCAAATCCACCATAATTTAAAAAAAAAATAGAGACGTGCATGTCTCAAGAACAATGGGGGAAAAACAGACAATAAATATATTATAAAAACAAACAAACAAAACAAAAACAAAAAATCCTAGGGCCCCAAAATTGCTGACCCCGCCACAGCCTGTAATTAATATCTGAATGTATAATGTATAATTTAACTCTCCAGCAGAAAAGTTGCGTGGTGCAGCTTTAAGTTTGTTCACTGCCCGTCTATAAATCGAGCTGGGAACTTACATTTTGTATTACGTTATCATTACTAATGTAGATGTATTTATTGCCTTCTTCCCGTGCATCTGACTTAAAGAGACAGCTTAGATTACATTACTGAATCTGCTGTATTCATATTAGGACATAAACCCCCCAAAGTGTTTGTGAGGACGAAATCCAACCACTGTTAAAATGCCCTTTAGCTCCAAACCCACTCCGATGATTGTTCATATTATTATGGCCCACTCTCTTTAATAGAAAGACACTGGTTTTATGGAGCCACATTAAGAAACAGGGCAGATATTCAGAGTCGCCTGTGCAGGTCCGCATTGTTCAAGGTTGCTGCATACACCAACAGATATCTACAAATGAGATAAATTACTTGAATTCAGAAATCACATCTTAATCTCCTCTTGATTTCTTCATCATTTTCTGAATTCAAGTCGCTCTAACTTCTGTAGTCGTCCTTTTTTTTTTTTTGCAGTGCATTTTTGAAGCCTTTGAATTGACACGTTTATCTTTAAATGTTAATTCATCTTTTCTCTCTTTCTCTTTTTTTTCTTTTCTTTTCTGTGTTTTCTGTCTCTTCCCCTCCGCGCAGTGAGTATGCCGGCGAGCGAAAACGAGTCCGTCAACACAGACAACGCGCCCGGAGCCGACGTGGAGGGGGAGGCCTGCTGCACACGGCTAGCGTAAGTACAACCGATCACACGGCTGCGTCGCTGCTACTTCCTCCTCCTCCTTAGCGCTTCATGATAACCAAGAGTGACCGGACGTCCCTTTTGACCCGGGACAGTCCCAGTTTTGAGCCCTGTGTCCCCTGTCCCAGCAGATTTATACAAAACCACTTGATTTGTCCAAGTTTTATACAAGAAACGTCCCAGGTGTCTCTATTTTTGACCAATCTGATCCCTGCCAGCAGTAAAGAGAGGCATTTGTTTACGTAAAATACAGAAAAGCTGCTTAAAAACGACCAAAACACAAAGAAAACGTGACTATACTGACTCACATGTTCGTCATGAATGAGCCGAGTGCAGAACAATTTTCCTCAGACGTTAACCCCGCAACAAACTGAATCTGACCATGTTATGTGCGAAGATAACTAGATTTTAATTCAACGTGGACATAGACCTTTTTTTCACAACGGACAGTTTTTCTATGTAAAATATCTGTGGAAATGTCTCACATATTTTCCACCAGCTTCATAAATCTGCCCCTTCGCCAAATCTTCATCCAACAAGGTCGACAAAGAAGAATTTATCCACAACTACCAAGGTTAGAAAGACGAAAACGTAAAGGCGAACAACAACGACGACGCATTAGTGAACTACTCCTGAGCAAAACTAACATTATGGTCATGAATAAAACAAAAGTAACTTGTGAACTCAGACTGATTCTACGATTAAAATTAAAAATTGATTTCATGATGTAGATATTAACATAGATAGAGAGATTTGTGCAGAGACATGTAATCTGTGAACAATTTATCTTCCACGTACAACTCAGTTTAACATTGACTCACAAAAGCTTTATTTACACCATGATCTTCCCTTGGCACACCACTGGCACCATTATCTAAACTGTGGCTTATTGCTCTAACCGATGTCTACTGGCCTTCATAGTCTCACCACACTTGTTTTATAAAGCTCAAGGGGCTTGAACACTCAAAGATCACACTATGTTCACTTTTCATGTCCCCCCAGGCCGTATTATTGATGGTCAATAAACTTCTCCTGCTGAAGACGTCCAGTTGGTCTCCAGACTTTTACTTCCACGCTTTTTTGGACAAGCTGAAAACTTCTGCAACAATCAGCACCATTCAAACTGCACAAATCTCTCTGTCTATGCCAATATCTACATCATGAAATTGATTTTTTATTTTAATTCTTGAATCAGTATGAATTCACAAGTTACTAGTTATTAATGACTTATGTATCGCTTATGTTTTATTTAAGACCATAATGTTTGTTTTGCTTAAGAGTAGGCAAGGCAAGGCAAGTTTATTTGTACAGCACAATTCGTACACAAAGTAATTCAAAGTGCTTTACAGAATAAGAAATACATTAAAATCATAATAAAAACAAATCAAAACATAAATAATCATGAAGATTAAAATTTAAAAAAGAGAGACATAAATTGGAGAGAAGAGTGCGGAATGAAAACCTTTCAGTTATTTGCACAGTTAAACAGAAATGTTTTGAGCCTGGATTTAAACAGCGTCACAGAAGAGTCTGTCTCACATGTTCAGACTGTTCCAGGTTTTAGCTGCATGAACCTGAAACTCTGACTCCCCTTGTTTAGTCGTGACTCTGGGCACCAGCAGGAGGCCGGTCCCTGAGCTCCTCAGAGTGTGAGATGGTTCATATGACACTAACATGTCACAGATGGACTTTGGTGCTCGGCCATGGAGACACTTGTACAAGCAGAGCTGCTTTAAAGTCTCTGAGGCACAGGAGCCAGTGCAGAGACCTGAGCACAGGACTTATGTGCTCGTACTTCCTAGTTCGAGTCAGGACCCGAGCTGCAGCGTTCTGGATGTTCTGCAGCGTCTCACAGCTCGTTTGGACCAGTGAGCAGAACATTACATTTTATCTAACCTACTGGAGACAAACGCATGGATAAATCTCTCCAAGTCTGATTTAGACAGTAAACACTGTCTAAATCAGAGTAAAAGTAAAAGTAGTTCACTAATGCATCGTCGTTGTTCCCTTTACGTTTTCGTCCTTTGTCGACCTCGTTGGATGAAGATTTTGAAGATTTGGTGATGGGGCAGATTTATGAAGCTGGTGGAAAATACGCGAGACATTTCCGCAGATATTTCGCCGTAGAAAAGCATTAACCACAAGTTCCGCAAATTCCCGGCTGTTGTGAAAAAGCTCTATAACAAAACTGTTTTACATGGTTTACATTTTAGATTTGATAACTGATGATTGGTCCATTGGTGCATTGCCATTTATTTATTATATAATTTAATATATATTTTCTATAAGTTGTTAAAGGTAGTTAAAGAATCCTGCAGAGCTTTTTTTTTTCAATAGTCAATTACTGTTTAAAATTTGCTATTATATTTGAGATAATACTGAAACACTTTTGACTGTTTTGCCAATTTACAGTATTCATGGGTGCACTATTATGGACGCCATTTTGAGGACTTCTAACCATTCAAAAAGCAAAATATTTAGTTTTGAATTGCTGTAACCGTCCTCATTTTTCACAATTCTTTAACCGATGCTTGTTTTTGTGCATTAGATTAGACAAACATATCTAATACTAAACTAACTAAATGAAATGTTTAACTCTCCTTTTTGTTTCTAACTCTATTACACTTTCCTTTTACTGTTAACAATATCAAACAGAACGTGCAAAACCTTTTTTTTTTTTTTTTTTGAGTTTATATTCTGTTTCCTAAAGAAGTGGGGCATCTGTCAGAGCCATGTTTTAATCCAAACTCACCTCTGCTCTTCTCCTCTGTCCTCTCGTTCAGTCCCATTCATGTCTGTGGTGGTGAAGTTCCTCCTCCTGCCTGTGGGGGGCGCTCCTACGGCTGACTCACCCTCTCCTTTTGTGTTCTTTTAGTCATTACTTTTCATTCACAGACACAAGGTCGAGCTGCGTACAAAAGCGCGAGCTGTTCCAATCATAAACGCCGCTGACTGTGGATTACTCACTGTAGTTAGGCGCAGAGTTCTCACGTGTTCTCCTGCTTTTCTTTGGCTGTTTTGTATCAGTTTGTTCTTCCTAAAGCCGCACTGTGGAACTTTTCTGGCGTTGCGTTGCCTGGGATGTTCCGCAGTATGGCGTTAAACAAAAATATCTCACGTTTATTAAATTACAAGAGTTTTTATTACTCAAATCTACCATAAAAAAATCATGCATTCTGACGGTGAGCGGGCCCACTTCTCCACAGATCTGACCTGTAACTTGGCCTGGTAATAACATCTACATGGAGTCAAGCAGGTGGTGGACCTTACACCAGAAAAGTTACACAGTGCAGCTTTAAGTTTGACACAACTAAGCTCATTTAAAGCAAGAAGTTTAAAGATTATTGGTCAAGTTTTTAAGAAAATTGCAGTCTGAATGGACCCAATTAGTGCAACTTTTTGGTTCGAGGTTCATCACCTGCTTGTTTCTATGGATACGTCACTGCTCTGTCTGGAATGTTCCACAGTGTGACATTAAACAGCTCTGTCTTACATTTAGGCTACGTTCACACTGCAGCCTGAAGTGACCCAAATTCGATTTTTTTGCCCGTATTCGACCTGTATCTGATCTTTTAATGACAGTCTGAACACACAGATCCGATTTTTTCAAACGCGACCCAGGCCATTTGGATATGTGGTCCTAAAACCGATGCATATCCGATCTTTTGACGTGCGACTTCAGTCTGAACTGGTTATTGCCTGATAACAAGCACCTGTTGCGAGCCAATACAACCCAACACCGATGCATTTGCTCACTGAAATAGGCCGCCCAAGATCCAATCCAATCCACTTTTATTTCTATAGCACATTTCACAAACAAACAGTTTCCAAAGAGCTGCACAAATACATAATCATAACAATAATAAAACGTTAAAATAAACTACTAAAATAATCATACTAGTCTCAAAAGAATAAACCAGTAAAATAAAATAAAAGCAAAATCATAAAATAGCAATAAATAAATATTAATATATAGAATTAAATGGAATAAAATAAAAAGAATAGAATAATAATATAAGAGTGGTTCAAGTAGGCGCTCACAAATGTACACAAATGTTCTTCTCGTCATACGAAAAGTGTGTATGAACTCTGTGTGAGTGAAGCAGTGAAGCACATGTCAGTCCCACCGCTCTTGGCTGCAACTCCACACGTACATGTTCCTTTCTACAGATGTTTTTGCCACTGCCCCACAAAACTCCACAGCCAAAAACCTCGTCCTTCTCCTTCTCAATCTCCTCCTTAAAACAAATGCGCTGTACATGTTCCGGCTCCGGTACGACAACGACTTTAAAATCTCCAGGTGTTTAGGCGACTTCCGTAAACACAGAGCACGCTCGCCTTTTGTGACGTCGTTGTGTCCTCTAATGAGCACGCGGGACACTTTTGGGGCGTTTAAAGTTCACACTGGAGATCACATACAAGTCACATTTAAGTGGAAATGTGAACGACCTCGGAAAAAAATCGGATTTCACAAAAAAATCCGAATTAAGCATTAAGGCCTGCAGTCTGAACGTAGCCTAACTCAAATACATGTGGTTTTATTGCTCAAAAATACCTAGAAAAACACACATTCTGACTGTGAGCGGGGTCGCCTCTCCACAGATCTGACCTGTAACTTGGACTGGTTTCTCCATGAAGATAGAAAGGTTTAATGCCATACTGTGAAACACTCCAGACAAAGCAAGAACATCTCCAAGGACAGAAAAAGCATTTGATGGACCCTCCACCAAAAAAGTAACACAATTCACCTTTAAGAACCATCATTTCCTCCACAAAAAACAAAATCTCCTCTCTTACTTTGCATATAAAACTGTAAAAACATGTGATTCTTGTATTAGTTGTCAGTTCATATTTTATTCTTTTTGACAAATTCTCCTGAACAAGTTTAAAATGTGAACTTTGAGCAGAATCCTGTTATTAACTTAAAAACATAAATTGCAAATCCAATCACAAAGCTTGTCAGAAAAATCGCACAGTCGTAATAACATTAA